ATAGCAAGCATTTTAAAGCACTTTGCGGAAAAAAACAAACAAAACAACATGAGACGGCAAAAGGAATTGAGCTCATCAAAAAAAATAAACATTATAACCGATCATCCGACAGGAGAACGCTTAAAAATAAAAAAAAAATGAACGATATAAAAGCCCATCAGAAAAAAGCTGTTGTCTTAAAAAAACAACAGAGTTATCTCCACGAAGACTCTCATCTCCAATAGAAGTAAAAAAATGGACATTTTACTTATTAATTGTTTTTTTTTGAATATTTATAAAAAAAAATACATTATGATTTATTTTCAATCTTAATATGCCTTTTTCCAGTAAAAAAAGAGCGAACGCTGTTTTACCASACAACCGACTCACTCGCGTAGAAAAAAAAAGAAAGCACGAAAAAAAAAAGAAAAAGCAAGAGTTTGAAACCTAAAAAAAATACAGAATCGGAGAAAATGCAAATGAAAATTCATAGGGCTATAAAAAAAACAACATTTTTTCTTGTTTCCTTTTGTTTTTGGTAAGGTCACTAAAAAAAAGAGACTGTTGTCAACTAAAGCAGCGGTTGCTCGCTTTGAACGAAAAAAAGGTGTATTCAGTAATTGACGTATTTCCACGATTATATTTGATGAAAAAAATAAAAAAGTTGTCCCGAATTTTGGCCAAACCTATTATCTCCATAAAAAAAAAGGAAATATCATCATGGCAACCAACAAACAAGGAACAATCACAAAAAAATACAACAGTGACAACAACCCAATTAGTGTGACATATCCTGACGAAAAAAAAATTAAGTATAGGTACAACAAAGATGGTCAGCGGATTGGATTGAAAAAAAATTCTACCGGCTATAACGTATCGTACTCATATGACAGTAATAAAAAAAAATCTGAAGTGTTTACCACAGGACCTGAAGGGACAAAAACACTTCAAAAAAATCATTATAATGCTACTGGGAATAACTACAGGAGAGTTCTTGGTAATAACGCATCCTCGGAACAAACGTTCCACCCAGGAACGACAAGAAAAAGAAAAAAAGTCAATCGTTTKCCWAATGGTAAAGTCTCTTCGAGTTTTGAATAAAAAAACGATMAAAAAGGAAGACCTGTCAGRAAAAAATCCCATCAATCAAAAAAAACATTTAAATATGACTCTGTTTCWCGGCTGATTGGATGGTCAGACGTCTATGATAATGGTACCAAACATTCATTTTTGTACRACTACGACACTCAAAAAAACAGGGTTTTTACTATTAACAATGGAAAGAGAGAGAACTATCAAAAAAAAATGGTTAAYCAGTACACCKCGGCTGGTGACCACGAATTTACTTACGATAAAAACGGCAACATGAGATCGAGGACGAACAAAAAGGATCGTGCAAAGAATGTGAACTATGTGTTTAATGAGGAAAATGTGATGATGCAGACAGAAAAAAAAAACRAAAGGTAAGTTAAGCTCATATMTGACTTAGATTATAATTAAAAAAAATTTCTAAAGTAAACATGAAGTAGGCCTAATGCTTGACAAGAACTTACGGACTTTACTCGCTCTTCCAAATGAGTATCAAAATCAGAATTTAAAAAAAAAAAATTCTTTAGTAACAATTCCTCGAAGTCTTCATTTCATAGACGAAAAAAATTATTTCGAGATAAGGGTGGAAAACTGTAGAAATTYTAAGAATAAAAAAATTTWGTTTGACTGCAAGTTTGCCGTCCGCCGACCATCGTTGCAAAAAAAAATTAAAAAACCGGTTTGAACCCGTTTGTCAGTAAGAATACTGAAAAAAAATTCGAGTGCAACAAAACAAAAATATTGATCGTTTTTTTAGTCAAAAAAAAAATATTTTTATTGCTAAAACAACTAAAAATTGAATTTACGAGCAAAAAAACATTTTTGTTTTCTCCAAACATGGTCTATCACGGAATAGTTGAAAAAAAATGAGCAGCCAATGAGAGCGCGCGATTTATAATAGACCATACGTAAAAAAATACTAAATACTAAGTCAGGGCTTAACGGGAATAACTAATTCTCAAAAAAAACTTAAGACGAACGTCGTTCCAGGCATCTCCTGTAAATTACTTACCATAAAGTAAATATTAATATGCGAGTTCATTACAAATTTTTTTGTTCCAAAAAAACATGACGTTATCTTTAAAATTTACATGAAGTTGATTCTGAGAGAAAAAAAATTGTTTTTAGGTGCGATACTATATACGACTCTCTTGGTAATTTATACAAGACGAAGTGTATGAGCGGAGATACTCGATTTATTTCCGATCCAAAAAAAACCTTTGGCTCCAACGTGATTGCACAGGTATCCCATTTATATGAAAAAAAAATTTTAGCTCTAGATAGGAAAATTAACGGGCGGGTTCCGCCGCAAAAAAACTTGACATTAATATTTCAATTAGATTGATCTCATGGTTAATGGAAAAAAATAGATATAATTATCCACATAATGTGAATGTTAGAGACTTCTATAAAAAAATCAGCGCCGTGTACATTAGAAACTATATATGGAAGAAGATTTAAAAAAAATGAAACTAGTTAGTTGTGTTCATTTTTTTCTTTAATGTCTCGAAAAAAAATTACTACCTCTTGGCTTTAAATCAAAGCKTCGGGTAGTCCCGGAAAAAAATGGTGATTTCTTGAGAGTAAATATTAACGTGGTAAACTTATTAAAAAAAAAATGACAATTGTATAAATTTTAATTTACGTTCTTGATGAAAAAAAAAAAAATCTCTATTGCTTTAAGACAATAAAATGCAGATAGAAGTGACACTGTTTGCTTTTTGATGCTACTTTGTGAAAGCATATTTTCTATAACACAGTATTTAATTGCACCGGGGAAATTCCGGGGTAAAAGTACCGGGGAYGCTCGAAAAAAATCTTAGGGGTAAATTCGTGATTGGAAATCTTTAAAGGTACCAAAAAAAAATTTCTGGAAATTTGCATTTTCTGCAATCTTTAGAGTGCCGAAAAAAAAAAGAAAGAGGGCTTCTATTTTGATTTTCCTCTGTATTTTGCTTTGAAAAAAAATATTTCATACATTTTATCATTGGAACTGATTTAATTTTTAACAAAAAAAGTTTAGCAATCTCTTAGAGATTAAAACATTAGTCAACCACGCCAAAAAAATTGAAGCTTCCGGGATCTTTTAGGGTCTTTTTGAACAAACGAGAAAAAAAGGTACTTCTACTTTTACTTTCCCGGGACAAATGCTATAGCAGTAAAAAAAAATTAAAACATTTCCATGTATTTAGGTCCATGGAAATATATCTAAAAAAATTGTACACTCTAATGAGCAAGGGCTGCTAGCGCAAATGACCAAGAATGGATCAGCCTTGTATTATGAGCTTGACGGCGAAGGGTAATACAGCATTTTCGTATTGTTGAATTTCGATTTAGTGTACGAGTGTACCGTTTTTCATCACTAAAGTTAGTCTATTAACGTGATAATCATCAAAAATACTTCACAAAAAAAAAAAACACATGATTKGCCTTTATGACACAAATGCCGAAGTTATGCCTAAAAAAATTTTAAGCTTTTATATTTTTCAGCTAGTGACCAGCTTATAATACGATATCTTTTTGAAGTCTTTTGTATACCTTTTATGCATGTTGTTTTGAACATACATAAGCAATATTAATATCATATGTAACATCATTAATTGGGAAAATAAAAAAACAGGCAAAGCTTATCAGCGTCGTCTATCAGTTCATATACGATAATTGATTATATTTTCTTTTGGAAATTTTAGTTCAGTGATTGGTTTGATAGACGAGAATGGTGATATAGTCAACTCATATCATTATGATCCTTATGGGATAATACTGAAAGCTGAAGAAAGAGTTCGTAATGATTTCCTGTTTGTTGGTCAATGGGGCGTAGTTCGGGACAAAGCCGTTCCTTTCCTGTACAAAATGCGTTCAAGATACTACGATGCAATGGTCGGTAGATTTATCAGCTACGATCCATTAAAAAAAAAAACTCAGCTAACTAAGAGTTTTAATAAACAAACTAAAAATTCAAAAAAATGGACCAACTCTTGAGCCTGGAATGTCGTAACTACATTTATCAAAAAAAACGTATTTCGGCCCTACGCGCGCTCTCACTGAAACCTTTGGAAAAAAAAAACGTGATGGGGTCCGTACGCCTTTTCGCGACAGGTCCGTACAAAAAAAAAATTTCCCGGCTTGAAGTTCCGCGCGCTTTTATTTATTTTTTTACATTACAAAACGCTGTCATATGATAAAATGCTTATTGACTGAGTTAGGTCGAAAAAAACGGGAAAATATTTGGCTCTCGGTCATTTGTACGGACCTCGCTGAAAAAAATCCGTACGGCATAACCTCGAGCCAAATATTTTCCCGTACGGCCAAAAAAATCAGTCAATAAGTACATAAAATGCTTTCATTTTGTCTTGTTTTACTATTATGGCTGAGTCTTGCGTTCGGCGAATCGCAAGTGTTTCAAGTTAAAAAAAACTGTTGCAATAAAGACAAATAAAACCTCATGGTAGAATTAAATTCACAGAAAGACATTACACAATCACACCTTATATCAGCAAAAGTCTTGTAAATTAATTGCTAGTTTCGCACATGATCAGGCGCGCGTGTTTTAAGACTGAAAAAAAAGAAAAATAGTACAAATCATGTTCTTTTTGTAGAATACTCTACCCTGGAAACCAATCTCTACGTGTATGCCTACAACAATCCAGTGGTCTTTACAAAAAAAGAAGGAAGAATACCAATAGTGCCTTTAGCAATGCTCGCCGTTCGTGCCATACCCGTTGTAATTCGCTTTGTTCCTAAAATTAGTTCTGCTATAGCACCTGTCCTTCGCTATGCCGGCAGTAAAGCCCTTCGCTATGGCATTCGTTCAAAGGACCCATGGTATGGAGTTCTTGGAAATGTGGGGGGTTACGCATAAAAAAAGGTGATCACAGGAGAAGATTTCACTTGGGGAGGTAAAGTTGTTAAAAAAAGTAAACATTGTCTCAGAGTCATAACACTTAAATCCCTGAGACTAGAGCGGATTTCGTATGACTGTGCAACGGCACGTATCACAATACGGACACAAAAAAATACGKTCACGGAACCTCGTCTTCTAGGATTCCAAATAGAAATAAAAAAAAAACAATACATCACCGCTACGGCACSGTACGGTCACAGCGCGAAAAAAAAATGTTTTTTGCACAGTCATACGAAATACGCCCTAACTATCATTTAAAAAAAACAAAGCCGTGGCTAGTGAAAGGAGGTAGTGTAAGGGTGTGTGAAAAAAATGCCCCACCACCTCCAACCCCGCATCAGCCATACCCAACAGATAAAAAAATTCCACATTTGTTTTTTTTAAATCATATTTTTTCGCGCGTTATAAAAAAACGAAGAGCTTTGATCGTATCTCGAATCCCAGTTAAATGATTATGAAATTGACTTTAATATTGAAAAATTTGAGAATTAATAAGAAATGGAAATGGCTACATACGTTTTGCTTGCATTCATCTATTCTAAATACCCTATACTAAAAAAAAATTACGACCATAGGCTAAGTAATAAATAGAAAATTTACATACAAAAAAAAAAAGACACTACATAGAATAACAAGTACACAAAAATAAATCGAATAAAAAAACATGAAGACTGCTTCTTCTGCGTATCTAAGGGTTTTCTAATCTTAATACCAAGCTTTCGGCCTTAGCGGCCATTTTTAAGGTTGTTAGTACACAAAAAAAACATAACGGTAAAAGTGCTCGAGAGGAAACTAGCAAAGACATAAAAAAAAAAGTGCGCGCACAAACTACAATGTTGTACTAAAAACCTTGAAAAAAAAAACTAAGGCCGAAAGCTTGGTTTTAAGATTAAAAAACCCTTAGATAAAAAAAAGGAGCAGTCTTCATGTATAAGTAAATGCCTGTGTACAAAGAAATTCTGAATTCTGAATCCCACCCCGTTTGGGTCGTACTCAGACCAAATGACCGCCCTTGGCTGAGACCCCGCTTACCAATTTTTTTTGGCTCCATACCTCATTGTAGCTGAGCATGAATGCGAGTGTTATTGAATAGAATACTGCTTCTATTGACTCAGTAGGCTTCCCTAGCAGCCTTGCTACGAGTTATATTATAATATAATAATTCGCTTATAAGTCGGGATCTCTGGTTAGTAAGTCGAGATCTCGCATTATAATTCGAGATCTCGGGTTTGTAAGTCGTGGACCATGTCCCTTTAATAAATGGATCACCCGAAAAATTGAGCTCCAACGGACATCCATGACCTCTGTAAAGGCATTGTTGTTCTCTACCAGCTGAGCTATTACATCAGGTATGTTGGCACGAGATCATTTCATTCTAGGTCAAACGTTCTTTTTAACCGATCATCCTCGGACTTTATCCGTTCATATCCCACTGCCGTCAGATCAAGGGGTTTTAAAAAAAAATACCATGATCACCTCGGATTCCATTGTCTTCCGAGGGGTTTAAAAAAAAGAATTTCCCTCATGAATAACATGAGGGAAATTTAGAAGACAAAAAAAAAATTTG